TTATTGTTGTACAATAGAAGTTGAAATTGAAAAATCGTTGAGCTAATGTCGCCAGCTGCTAAATAAATTTGCATACGTTAACAATACTTATGCATATTACAAATGTTGAAAAAAAAAAGACCGAGTCACATTTGTAACATTGTAAATAGGCATTTTTACGCTCTCTCTCTCCTTCTCTGCCTCTTTGCTTTATTGAGATGTGCTGTAAATAAAGCTATGTATGTGTCAATTAAGCAGCAGCGACAGCCAGCGCAATAACAACACCAACAAGGAACAGAAGAACAGCAGAAACAGTGATCACAGTGGAAGGAGAGGGAGTGTCGACGTCCAGACTGCGTCAATAATAACTGCATTACACACGGCAACGACCAAAAATGAAAAAAATTTCTATATGTACATACATATGTACATATGTATATAATAATGGAAACTCTCTCGCACATTCACACACCATTAAACTGTTCGACTAAGAGAGAGTGCAGACCTAGCACTCCATCACTCTTGCACGCGTTTGCCGCTGCATTTGCTGTGTGTTGCCCTCCCTCATCGATTCATTCCATCTGCTATGCTCGTTGTGCTCTCTTCTTGTTTCTCGTGCGGTTCATTGACCGAGGCGTCGGCACGTGCGTTGAAAACACTGCACATCCTCTTGCATTCACTCGGGCCAGAGTGTCGAAAACACTGGCACTGCCTCTAAGGCGTATATGCTCGTTGCATTTTATCGCATGCACATGTCGCTAGTTTGCTCGATCCCTCTCTCTATCTCTATCTCTGTCTATCTGCCTAGCACGCTCTAGTACTATGGCAACTACACAACTGTTGGTGTATGTGTGTGAGTGTCGATTTTTATAGCCTGCCTGCTTGGGTAGCTGTAGTTGTTTCAATTTTTTGTTGTTTGCTTTACAGTTGCGCGTGGACTGCACTGGTGTGAGTGAGCGTGTATATGTGTACACACAAGTGTGTGTGCTATGTTCTCAAGTAACTCGAATTAATTCACAGTTTTATTTTTGGCTACTTTCGATGTTTACAGCTATTTTTAATTGTATTCTATAGACGCGCCCACATTGCAAATCTCTTAAGTCATCGATTCAATTGCAATTCACAATTGATAGAAGAAGGAATATGTGTGTATGTACATACATATGTAATTGTACTTGTATGTACACATGTCTTTAAGTATTTTAATATTTAGTACGCATGTACTTTATTTGATAATGATATTGATAAGCAGTCTCCAAACAATAAATATTGATCATAAATTTGGTGTTTCCGCTGTGGCGGCTCGTTCAAAAACAAATACATACTCTGTAAGCCTTTAGGTGCTAACATATCGAGCACACTTAAAGTGCCCGGAGATACTGAGTCAAGCATACATACATACATACATAAGTACATGCATACATATCTACATACATATTTGTATGTTTATAGATGTATTGGTGTAGGTACTTCAAGCATTGATACTCGTGGTATTTAATCTAAGTTGCGGCCGCATCGCTTGAATATTTTATGCATGCACACTCCGAGATATTGAAATATATTCATATATTTATTTTAATTATTTACTTCCAGCTTGTTTTCGTTTATCTTTCTTGTAATTATTAAATATTTACAGGGCGCCATTGCAATGTAGTTTTTTTGTTTGTTTTTTTATTTTTTTAAGCAGATTAAGCACCTGCTAATTAAGAGTTATATACATATGCACTCAATTAGTCTAAGGTAACTCAATGTGAGGGCATTGCTAAGCTGCTAGTTAACATTTACAGTGTGAGTTGACATGGGGATAAACGATTAAAATGGTCGTACAATTGTGATCAATGAATTTGGAAGTCAAATTGATCAATAATAATAAATAATTAAATAAAATAAATACCGATGTAATATCTAAATTAGGCAATAAACTTTTGTAAGTAAATTCGATAAAAATGCAAGAGAGAAAAGATACAAAGAGAGAGAGGGAGGGAGAGAGAGAAATGAAAGTCAGGGTCTGGGTCTTATCAAATATAAAAACTAACCTAAGCCAACATTAACTTTAATAGCAAGATCATTGTGTATTCATACATGGTCTCTATATATATAATATTTCAAAAAGAAGTATTATTATGTATATACATAGGTGAATACATAAATAAACTTACTCTATTTAAATAGCTCTCATTGTACATTGGCTAATTGTATTATTTGTAAAATTTATTGCCATATCATTAAGACTGAAGTACGTGTTTCCTCTACAGTTAAGCCCAAAAATAAAAATCATTTATTGACCAACCCTAAGTAATTTAGATAGTCGCAAATACTATTACAAATTAGCTGATTGAGCAAAGTGAAGTCAAAATTGTGAATGAAAATGAAAATGTGAATTGTGAAAATTATTATTATGTTATGTCTAGAAATAAAAAACTTGAATGGAAATATTAAACTATCATTACTTTGCAAGAATTATGACGATTCTATATTCAATACAGAATAAATTTAGATATATGTATGTATGTATATATCAATTTTCTAGAAGTCTTCATGGAAGATACAAGTTGGATAGATAATATTGTTTCAAGATATGCCTAAGATGAGTGTAAGCATCAGCTATAAATTATATAATAATATTTCTACAATAAATTCAAGTGGTTACTATAAAACTATATGTTCTGGCTAGCTATAAAAATATCTAGTATTTAGTTATAAAACCAAAAACAACAGCTCGTTTATAGCCAAATTCCATATGAATGCTAATTAAATTTCTAGACAAACCAAAATAAATCAAATTAAAAACACGTTTTTTTTCTTCTCCATTTCGTTAGTTGACTTTTGGTGCGGTATTACGCGTTCTTTGGACTCGCCAATAATTGTGCAATAGGTAAACTATGTGGACGGAGCACTTGATTCATATAAGCTAGAGTAAGCCCTACGGGTCTTACGTAAAACACGGGTTGTCTGGCCCTTAATTACCCAATTCAAATTATTGAACCTCACACAACAATGTGGACAATATGTAGAAAACAAAGTAGGCGCAACTAAAATCTGATATACGACCATATATTATATGCTATATAATAGAATATACATATATAGTATATGTAGTACTTTGATTTGATGCAACCTTGAAAAATGGCAATGCCAATTGCCCGTACATTGACTCGAACAAAGTGTCTAAGCAATAACTCACTCGCCCACTCTCTCCCTCACTCTTCTACGTCCTCTACTTGCATTTCTTGCCTTGTATTCTTTTCTTTTGCTCTTCAGTCCCCTCTCCTATTCTTCCACTCGCCTTTACACGCGCGATCGTTAAAATGTAACAAATATGAGCCTGTAATTGCCTCTTAGTCGACTAGTAGATACCCAGCAGTAATAGATCTATGTAGACTTATTGTACACATATGTAAACTGGGACAAGTATTCACATTTTTGAAAACATATAGCCAGCGAACTGGCTAGGATATGTTGGGAGAGAAGATATCCAATCTAATACCAAGAATTTTTAACCATATAAAGGTATAATGGGAATTTTACAATAAGGATAGATATATAATTTAATAAAAGTCCATCTGAGAATTATAACACACATATATAAGCAAGATCCAAGATTCCCATTAAGACATTTACAGGATATTTTCTAATGCAATTTTTGTATATTATTATCGACACGCTTCATTATATGAGTGCACTATATATATATATAGAGACTTAGGGAACCATATACTATGCATGTTATTTGTATAGGCATATACATATATCTATCATATTTTGTTCGATTTCATTTGCTTACGGAGTGGTTCCGGTGGCGTTGCACGCTTTACACGAATAGCCGGAACGTGTCGGCGTTTACGAAATACAACAAAAAAATTAATTTTCTTTTAACTATTTTAACAAATTTTCTTTCTCTTGCTATTCCGTATTTGATTTATGCCCCGGTTTGCCAATGTAGAAAAGTTCCCCAGCTATAAAAAGTAAATTAAAGTCAAGATAAACGGCAATTTATCGAAATTGAGAAACTGATGTCGTAAGCCTGCAAAAACACGTAAAGTTCAGTTCGTTTTTGCTTATTATTATATATGGGGTGCCTAGGTACATATGTAAAGGCTCTGGTAGTAAATTAAAAACTTGGCGTACCCATAATCTCTATAGAGCCGAATATACTGTGCTCAACTTGATTTTTATTTAGTTATTTATTCCAAAAGTCACATAACTGAGTTCCTTGCGAGATTGCATATAGTAGGATTATTCTAGAACTAGAGATATTGATATTTACAGATTTATATATAAGAGTCACGAGCAGTTTTTATAAATCATTCATACGTACCCATATATAATATTATTTTATTTCATATCAATGATTACATTATTTTTAGATTTGCTTATTCAAATTTTGAGTTCATAGGCCTGGAATTACGCTATCATCGATTTACATTTCTATTCTAATCATCTTTGATCAGCCATTGTGCCTGCCAGTTGAGTACTTAAGTGCGATCTAGTTAATAACTCTGACAGTAGATCGATGCATTACCCGACCTAGAACTGAGTGAGTGTGCAAAACAAACGACCTATAGACCATAGATAAAGGTTGTTTGCACACAGACCTCTGGGTAGATAGATCGATAGAAAGTTAGAGCCATAAATATGCACATAACTAGCCAAGTGTTGAGGCATGCGTGACTGATAA